TACACATTTGCAAACCTACCAATAAAATCTTTACAGAAAACAAGATGTCAGAAAATCAATATAAGCACTCCTATGAACTGGGTGCCTAACTTTGATCAAGATCTGAAGCTAATAGAAAATCTGTTTAGTTCAAAGTTATCAAATCAAAAACAATACATAAAAAATACATTAAAAGCAAAACATTTCATCCACATTTTAAAAAGAAAATTATTCTAAAATATATGTATTCTGTATTTGACAAACAGTTCATTCGACAAATGAAAACTCACAGGAATATGTTTCAGCTATTAGAACAGAATGATAGAGTTTTTATAATACTAGTTTAAAAACGCACTTCAAAGATTGCAGTGTTTGAAGATGTAGATTCTCAGGAGGCAACAGTACTGTTGACTTCTCCCTCCACTGGACTATTTATTTAACTATTTAAGTTGATTTGCCTACAAAGCAGAGCTTGCAACATGATAGCTATTCATAAAGAGTGTTTTTTTTTTTTTAACTTTTTATATAATACAGTAGTCACACAATGAGGCAGTTCATATTTGTCTTAGTGAATCATTAATTTTTGACAGACACCTGTACAAAATACTTGGACTAAAGCTAGCTAAAATGTTCTGTTATCTTGCATGTTTTATGAATCTATTCACATCTAAATGCAGCACTTTTTTTTTCAATGAGACATTTGTTTTTATACTAAAATATCTGAATTACTTTGAAGAAAGCTGGAAATTATGTCCCTTAAAATAATTAAACAAATAAGGCACCAACAATTTTGTAAGATATTTACATCTTTTAAGGACATTCGGTAGACTGATTCCCCACTGTTAGTTCAACCCCAAAACTTTTATTTATATTGAAACAAACTATGATAAAGGGAATTATATTATATAACAAAGGGCAAGGTCACCAGAGTTCAACTATGTTTATTTTTATTTTTTGAAATTTCATATAGATTTTTGTAGATACCAACTTCTATGTGAGGTTGGTTATAAATGTTTTGTGTATCCCCATGCAATCAATAATACTGTATACACCACTTTGATTACCATTACCATTATTGCCATGACAACCATATGATGAGGTTTTCTGGCTTGATGGGTTACCTCAAAATTTCTGTAATGCATGATGGGACATAATGAACTGCATGTGATGCATGATGGGACATAATGAACTGCATGTGATGCATGATGGGACATAATGAACTGCATGTGATGCATGATGGGATATATTAAACTGCATGTGATGCATGGTGGGATATATTGAACTGCATGTGATGCATGATGGGATATATTGAACTGTGTGTGATGCATGATGGGATATATTGAACAGTGTGTGATGCATGATGGGACATAATGAACTGCATGTGATGCATGGTGGGATATATTGAACTGCATGTGATGCATGGTGGGATATATTGAACTGCATGTGATGCATGATGGGATATATTGAACTGCATGTGATGCATGATGGGATATATTGAACTGTGTGTGATGCATGATGGGACATAATGAACTGCTTGTGATGCATGATGGGATATATTGAACTGAATGTGATGCATGATGGGATATATTGAACTGCATGTGATGCATGATGAAATATATTGAACAGTGTGTGATGCATGATGGGA